AATGCTAAGGTCAATCGCCTCGCCTTGATGTCTTGGCCCCGCCCCAGTTGCCTAGGAGATATGTCATCAGGAGCCGCCAAGACGTGTTCCAATGTTCATTTTCTACCGAGGCGTCTGTTCTCCATTTGTTAGCCGTTTAGCTAGCGATACAATGGAGGTGTCTTGTAGCCTAGCCTTGGTCAAAAATGACCCAGAATAGTTTAGTTTAGTTTATTTCAAACAAAGAAAACATACATAATTTTTTAAAAAGTACCACAAACAGAAAAAATACATATCATCCCTTCTGTGTTTGAAAAGGAGTAGGCTGAAGTGGAAACTTATATATCCCTACCCCTTTATACAAGTAATTTTTACTTGTTTACTTAAATCTAACACAAAACCTACATTAAAACAAACAAAATGGTACAAGTCACCAAAAAACCACCAAATTATATGGAAAAAAAACAAAAAAGAAAAAAAAACATCTTTTTACAATTGATACAATTTACTTTTCCTTGGAATAAAGGACACTCACATAAATCATCTATTTTCCACTATATACTTGTTCAGAATATGTTTTTTATAATTCATTTTAAACACATTTATATTTGTACTTACTTTGATTTCTTCTTCTAAACTGTTCCATAATTTAACCCCTATTATTGTGATACACATCTGTTTTAATGTTGTTCTAAACTTATGTATCTTTAAGTTTAGTGTCCCTCTCAGGTTATATCCTCCTTCTCTCTCTGTGAACAGTTTCTGTATTTTATCAGGCATTAATTTATTTCTTACTTTATACATTATTTGTGCTGTTTTGTATTTAACCAAGTCCTGGAACTTCATTGTCCGTGTTTTAATAAAAAGTTCACTGTGGTATTTTCAAAAGGATTTTCAAATTTCAAGTTTAAAAGTAAGTCAACTAATTTAAAATGATTTTTTTTTACATCCAAAGAAGTTTTCCATTTAATTTAAAACGTAAAAGGCTCAATACATATTTATATTGAAACTAATACGTATAAAATATAACATTCTCTCCAGTGTCACGTGACGTTACGTAAGCGCTGCTTCCATTTGACCATTTTCTTTGACCAAGGAAGGACCGTGTCCTTGTAAGCAAGGCACCTGGCCTCACAAGCCATCGCCTTGCCAGGCCAGGTGCCTTGACAATGAGAAACACCCTTAGACCCGCCCCCATGTATTTTATGGTTATATGTTACAAAGCTGCCAATATTTTTCAACAACTGGGCATCATTTCATTCATTTTCAACAACATTTTGATGTATATTTCCAGAAATTGATGGTAAAAACTACACATTGTCTCTTTAAAATCATTCACTAATAATTTAGAAATAATTCTTTAGAACTGTTTGTTTCTATGTGAAAGTCTTTGGAGTTGTTGGACACTGATTTATACTTCAAAGCAAACATTTACAGCAATTGCTCCTATGTGTAGTACACCTTCTAACACACACACACGCGCGCACACACACACACACACACACCTGGCAGTCGTACACCCAGCATTACATCACGTTCTAGAAACGGCTGCAGCTTTGACACTCAGCGCCTGACCTGACTGCGTAACTATGACATTACACAGAGCGCTGCGTCATTGCTGCTCCCCGGGTCGTTCTGCAGCAGAGGGGACATGAAGGAACGGGACAACAAGGCCGCTGACGCACTATGTGCTTCCATCGGTCAACATTAACTATTTTGTTAAATGGTCATTAATATTTGGGCTGTGAGTGAAGTTAGGAAGAAAAAAGGAGAAATTGTGCACGCAAATACCAATTTTGTTTGTTGTCAAAGTGACTCACTTCTAAAATGTCATTTAGTGAAAAACATGTTCAGATAGGTTTGTAATTACCTCCATCTGTAAGCTTCTGCAATTAAAGGTAAGCATTATGTGTTGTTTTAGATTTCTAAAGATCTTTTTAAACGAAACACTAAGAAATTCAGAAGATTGCTCCCATTTGCCTTTTTTTTTTGTCAAACAGCATTTTCTCCCTAAAAATGTCAACCTAATTCAGTCTAGATCGGGGGTCTGAACACTCCTCTCTGTCCACCTGAATAAAACGTGTTTAGAGCAGCAAAGCTTACAGGACCTTTGGAAAAAAAGGCAATTTGTAACTTTTGAGTAATATCTTTGGAAGAGATATAAGGACCACTGAAAATCTCAGAATTAAAATTAAAAGATTAAAATCAGGATCAGATTATAGTCAGAAATCTTGTTTCCCTCTTCTGTAAATATATCCTCTTAATTTGTTTTTAATTTAGAGAAAAAAAATTTGGGGAAAAAAAGTATGTTTTCTATGGAATGTAAAAAATACAAATATATTTTAAAATATTACAGTTACTTTTAGTGTCATTCTGTTGAAATGCAATCCAATTCCTCTATGAAATAACTGAAAAGCTGCTTAAATCTGCATTTTTAAAAATGGGGCTTCTGAGTGAGTCGTGGAGGATGGCTGCTTATAGTGAGCCAGGATCCTCTGGAGGTTTCTTCCTGTTAAAAGGGACTTTTCCTCTCCACTGTCGTTATATGCTTGCTTTGTATGAGGATTGCTGTAAAGTCACTGACACTAGTCAGTGACTTTACAGCAATCTGCTGGGTTCCTTATATAGGAAACTTTTTGCTGATTGGCTTAATGAACTGAATTGTATTGGAATGTTTACTATGTGAAGTGCCTTGAGACGACTCTTGTCGTGATTTGGCGGCCGCTATATAAATATTCTTGAATTGAATTGAAAAAAAATATCCACATTTAAAAACACTTTTACATTTAATCACTTTCAACCAACATCATTCAGTGCCATTTTGGAAGGGCCAAAGAGTCACTTGAGGCTCCAGTGCTGCAGGTTGCTGACCCCTCTGCTAGACGAAACAGGTCATGTCTTACTACGGATGCACCAATATGGAATTTTGGGTCGATACCAATAGCTGATATTAATATCACTGTTATTGCCGATACGATTCGGGTCCTCTGCCAAAGGCCTGGGAGCTTGAGGGCTCAGCAGTTTCTTGGCTGTTCCTAGCACTGCACTTTTATGGACTGAGATGTTTTTCCTGGGATCTGTTTTAGCCACTCCTCCAGTTTGGGGGTTACTGCCCCAAGTGTATCGATATTTTTAAAAATGACTCAAATCGGCTGATACCGATATATGCTGATATATCATGCACCCTTATTTGAAACTTAAGGATTATTTTAATAATTCTATTTTAATCACATTTTTAAATAAACATCTAGCCAAAGCCATTCAGTCTGTGCTGTTTTGCATGTGTGATTGGGTTAAACAGAGACATCAGCAGTCATTTCCTGTTCCACTTTCCCAATATGAAATCAAGGCAGAAAACCAAAGAACCAAAGTTACATTCAGGATGCAGAAGATGATGTATAAAAAAAGGCTTAAGCTGTTTTTCTTTGAACTCCAACATCTCGGCTCAGAGGCGGAAGACAAAAAGCAACACAAGCTGTAATTTTATTCTAAATAATAACAATCTGCCTTACAACAAAAAACGCTCAGCATTTATGGCCAGAGAAGAAAAGCTGGCAGAGGAGATGCAGACCAGGACAAACAGAACCTCTTTTAACCAAAAAAATTAAAAAACTGAGAGAAACTCTGAGCAACAATCATTGTTCTCCTCCTTGCTCCCTCTTCTAATTTTTTTCATAACCTGCAAGCGTACAGCTCCCTGACTCGACAGTCGACTCATCTCCTACATCAAGTCGATGTGGAGCCTGTAATTACAGATCACACGGCACACACACCCCTAGTCAATGAATGCTAATAGGAGGGCGGGGCCTGTCCACGGTCCCCACGTTACAGAAATCATTAAACAAATTATTTAGGGTGAAAATGTCAGTCGCCTCCATTGATTCTTGAACATAAAACTCTCCCATACATATTCCCGTTTAAGTCTGATCCTCCTGGAGATCATCAAATACTCCTTCATTAATGTGTGTCATAATTAGGGATGGGTACCTTGACATTTGAATCGATCCGGTACTAATTACCGGTACCTACGAATTGATACCGGTACTTAACGGTACCAATTTTTGATACTTTTGAGTGTTTATTATTTTAATTCTCTTTTATAATTAAATATAGATTTTTCTCAATATATAACAATATTTGATAAATATCACGATAAATAACATACAACTGTTTGTATTAACATCATCCTTGTAGTTTTATAAGCTGATAATTAAACTGAAGCAAACATCTTTACTGTGAACTAAATTTACTGTGTATCTTCATTCCTTTTGCCATCTTTTTTCATTTGATTTTTCCTACTGGGAAGTTAGAATTTCCGAGGAGAAAGCGAACGCACCATTAGCTGATAACAACGGTGGCAACGGAAGCTAACATATCAAGCTAACGTTATCTTAAACAGTTTATTTAACTGCTGGAGCAGATTAAAACGATGATGCCTCACACTTAGATCGTTGTCACTGGTTTCATCTTCACCCAATCACCCGTCGCATTTAGTAAAGTGAAGCCAAACTTTAGAGCGTGTTCATGTTCTAGTCGGAAATTCGGAGTTCAGAGGGGAAAGTGAACGCACCATTAGCGAAACGGAAGCTAACATATCAAGGTAACGTTATCTTAAACATTTTATTTACCTACCGGAGCAGATTAAGTTGAGGATGTCTCACTTAGATCGTTGTCGCTGGTTTCATCATCACCCAGTTACCCATCACATTTAGTGAAGTGGACCCAGGCGTTAGCGTGCATTCTTTCTACTCATGCTGCTGTTTACAACTTGCTCGCAGCGACCGACGATATAACGCTCTTGCGCATGCGCAGCTGTCTTGGCAAGTTCTCGTTATGAAGGACGGGTACCGAAACGAGGCACCGTTTGAAACGACGTGAATCGGTGCTCGGTCCTTGGAATTCGGTCGGTACCTTAAAAAGTACCGAATTCGGTACCCATCCCTAGTCATAATGTGTTAAATAGCAGGTTTAGGGACATAGGCAGTGGTATACATCTACCATTGTAAAAGACGAGCACTTACTTGTCTGACAATGGTTCTGTGACCAGCACCGTCCCCTGAAGTGGCCGTTGATGGTGGTCTGAGGACAGAGGGTCTGTCCCTGGGCGGTGCCAGGACACACGTCTCCACACTCCCTCTCGTTTTTGTTGGCCACAATGTAGTTGTCCTCCACCGAGTCCAGGATCTTGGACCAGTCCAGGGTTGCCAGGTAACACAAGTCTGGGTTCTTCTCTATCCTCACGGCGCCTCGGGTGATGTTCATCAGGCTGTGCAGGCCCACCTCCTTCAGCTGCAGCATCTCGTAAAGCACCAGAGCGTAGTTGAAGAAGAGGTTGTTGCCACGGATTACAGTCAGGTTGGGGAAGAGGTCCGTGAGGGTCTCCAGACCGTAGACCCTGAACAGCAGGACATAGTCAGTCACCACTCGCAGCTTCGGGTAGCTGAGGCCGCGGAAGTCCTCGGTCTTGGTCTTGAACATGAGCAGAATCTTGAGGTGGCCCTCAATGATGGTGCAGTTCTCCAATGACTGCAGGTTGGTCACGTTGTTGCGGATGTCCTTACTCTGGCAGACTGGGAAGAAGAAAAAATGTTTTTAATGTGATAATCCATCATTAACAATGGCAGTCATAATAACTGTTTATCTCAGGGCAGAGATCAAATCGTATCCATAAAACTCTAAATGAAAAGGTTTCTTTAAATATAAACTTTTTAAATCATACAAAGAGATTCCAACTTATTTTATTTATACAAATTTCAGTAAAAGCTGCAACTAAATATTTACAGGATGATAAAAAGCTGGAAAATCAGAGTTGAGCATGATTTTTCTACAAGAACTATATTCTGTGAAAATTAGACATTTTTTGTCAAATCATCCTATTTGGTCTATTTGCAGAGAAAGTGCACATCACTGTATGAAACCGCAAAACATTTAACAATTAAATTTACACCTTTATTGTAATAAATGAATATAAAAATAAACACTTCCTTTCTTTAATTCAAACCAGCAGTAATTTGCATTAAATCAAATAGAACAATTCATAAAGACACCTCGCTCTGTTCCCCTTTACCAACCTGGTGGCCACAAGCCCCCTCTCCCTCTGTATTCCTCTTTAACACACAGACACACACTTTCTCTCTCTCTCTCTCTCTCTCTCACATGCATGCACGCACCCTCTCCATTGTCCTGTGGTATTTCTGCAGAGAGAAATGACTGTATGGCACGGTCTGATATGAATGATATGAAGGAAAAGACAGAAACAGAAATGAGGCCCGGAAGCAAAATGCTTATCCGAGTTCATTCAGTCTTTAGCTGTATATACACACACACACACACACACACACACACACACACACACACACACTTAGACCAGTGAATGCATAAACACACGATCACACACATTACTGGAGTGGAGAATTCATTAGCGGGCAGTTACTTTAGAACAGTGGTTCCCAAACTTATTTAGCCACGCACCCTCTTCTATGTCCCGACCATGTTGACGCACCCCCCAGCCCCACATCAGGTCATGGCTATATATATATATATATTTATTTATTTATTTATTTATTTATTTATTTATTTATTTATTTATTTATATATCAGACATCACGCTAAACCAGGGGTCGACAACCTGTTCCAATCAAAGAGCCATTATTACCCGTTTCCCACAGTAAAGAAAACACTGGGAGCCACAGCAGCCGCGGCGTTGTGGGCGGGGCCTACCCTTAGACAGCAGAGAGCTGCTCACAACAGGTGACAGCAGCCAGTATCGGTCGCTCGTGCACGTCAAAGTTATCGTTCATATGACGATAATCAATAAAACGATTTATATAAAGTGGATCCAGAAGTTGTAGCCCGTCTCTGCTACAATATTTTGCTATTTTTCACCCTGTTGGTGGTTTTACTGAGCAGGTGCCACTTTTGTCATACGTTTCTTTTTAAAACACGTTTAGACTGTTCAGAATACAAATCCAGACTCTGTCACGTTTGATTGTTTTAATTAAACTTTGTAGGTGGGGAAGGTCAGAAAAGGATCCAATCATTTTGTTTTCCCCTCATTTACAGCGACGGAGATAACGGTGCAGTGTAGGGCTGCTCGATTATGGCAAAAATAATAATCACGATTATGGTGACTGAAATTGAGATCACGATTATTTAGGACGATTTTTCAATTTATGTTGATTTTATTTGTTTTTATTCAGTCATAAAACTGCTCAGGGCACAATCAGGACAAAAATAAGAAACAAGATGATCACTAAAATAACTCCCGATTCCCAGTATAAAAAGACCAATATACTTACAGCTCATAGTCTATGACCCAAGGGCTGTAGACCTTGGTTTAACTCATTTAAGTCTAACCAGTACATACCCAAATACCAATATCTGGCAAATACTGACAGCAAGAATTATACAGTGGCATTTATAACAAATACATGCAAATAAATTGATGTTCACAAAATGTTGCGTAATACGTATTTAGTCGTGTCAAGGTGCTGCTGGAGCGTGCACTAGCACCGTGTCCTCAGAGAGATTAGTTATTATTTATCAGCGTGAGGAACTTATTTCTACCTTTTTATAAACTATGTATTTACAAGTCCATCAATTAATGTAATAATTGTCCCAACCACAGCTGCACCCCCACCCCCAACCCGGTCTCACAGCAATCAGGGCAAGCTGCTCGTGTGTTTAGCACGCCGCACATTTAGCCGTTTTAGTGGCTCAGGAGTCCGCAGGTGCGGTGTGTGTGTCACTCACTCTGGTTACTCCAACAAGGAGCCGGCTCCGAGAGCTGTCTTTAGCGACCGACACATCACTTCATCATTCCCTTTCCTAATGTCCTGAAGAACGGTCCGGAGAGCAGGCGGAGTGTTTAGCTAACCTGCAGGAAATGTCGACGATAGTTATCCAGAAAGTAGCTAAGGGTCACCAGAGATGTTTCTGAGATGTTCGCTAGGTACTTTTAAGTTAAAAAGTCAAGAAGGGGGTCTGAAAAGAAGCTAGAAATAGCGTCAAAGTCACAAAGTTGGCAACACTGTGGGAGGAGCGCTTCATTTGCAACTCGGCGCAGCGCAGGCGGGAGGAGCAAATAATCGGCTTGTTTTGTTTTTTATAATCGTTCAAAACTCAGATCGTAATCGTGATTAAAATTCGATTAATTGAGCAGCCCTAGTGCAGTGTGCCTGGCTCTGGTGTTAATCAAGTTAAATTATATCTCTTTGCAACAATTTTCACAAGAAAACAGAACAGTCAAAGGCAGGGCTTGTGTTGACTGGACAGTTCCCGTATTTGACCGTTTATTTTGACGGAGAAACAATAGAAAGCATTACCCCGACACAAGCAGATGAACTGACATTTTATTCGTTTCGCACATCACAGATGTAGCTAAATCACTCAAGAAAAGATTCCCATCTGAACATCTGAGCTGGACACTGCTCATCGCACTCACTGTCAGCATGTACTACATAAGGTCCACAGCGAGCTGAAGATGTGGAGAGGGGCTTGGAGCGCGCCGCAGAACCAGAGCGCATGCAGGAAGATTCCTCCGACTGAAGCGAGACTTGCCACTTAGAAAATCTTCCCTGAGTATGAAACTTTGGCTGAATAGCGCTTGTTCCTGTCTCCAATGTGGCGACACATCCAGGAGCCGTCTGAGGAGAAGCCCAGAATCTCACATCCTCTTCAGCTCAGGAAGCGCCTATGATTACGCACAAGCGTGACCCGTCAACCCGGTCTCACAGTAAGACCGGGTTGGACCTGTTCAGGTTTACGCAGACAATCTTTACATAGAATTGGCATACAGATGTAAAATTAATGCAGTAAAATATAAAACTTTTTACTTAAATATCCATTCATTATTTTACAAGCACAGAGAGCCGCATCAGATGGATGGAAGAGCTGCATGCAGCTCCAGAGCCGCGGATTGCCGACCCCTGAGCTAGGGCATGTGCGGAGGACACACACACACACACACACACACACACACACACACACACACACACACACCTTTGGCCCACCCACAAATGAGTTTCTGGCTACGCTAATGGTGACTTTTGAGAGACTTCTCTGAGCTCCGCAGCCATTACACTTTTCACCTCGCGCACCCCCTAGCGGCAGCTCGCGCGCACCACACTTTGGGAATCCTGCTTTAGAAGATGCACAGAGAAAGCACACACTGCTGTTTAATTGCTCCATATAATAAGATCTAAATTGCTATCATACACCACAGAAGCTAGAGTCATGAAGAAGTGTTGAAAAAAGCTTTAAAATGTAATTATTTTGTTTCAATGAAACAAAATGAACATCTGACAAGTTACTCGTTGACACGATGTCTTGGTTTGTGTTGGAACATAGTGTCAAAATGCCATTAGCATAATCGCATTCAGAAGTTCAGTAGTGCTGTTGCACCCATTTGTTCTTTGTAATGAATGAACCATTTTACTAACTGGCCTGATTGGGCACATCACAGCAGCCATTACAGCCTCAAACAGATTGTCATGGACAATAACCATCATAGAAATAGAGGAAATATACCTACGGCTTCCAGGTGGATCATTAAAACTTCCTTTTATGTACAAAAACCTACAGGAAACAACCAATGGTGTCTATTGTTTTGTTCATATAAAATAAAAATGGAAAATTAATAAAATATTATGGAGTCGTATTGCATTCAGCCACAAAAAAATAAAAAGCTATCTGTTTTTCTGAATTAACAAGATATTTTTAATGGAAAAAAACTAAAAACTAAAATAGTCCCTCTGCAGTGCTATAATGCTCTGTGGCATTCTCGACTGGCTAACATAAAATGTCTCTTTGTTTTGGAATTGAGACACCGTGTGAAATAGCTACTGTCTCTGAACTGGACAGGCAGCCGTCCGAGAGAGGGTGGGCGGGGTTTCGAAATACTCTTCTGAATGTAGCAGGATGACCGCTTGAACCTGCTATCAGTTAGTGAGCTGATCATCAGCAGAGGGTGCTGCAGATATTAAGAGGCCGACTTCCTATGAGAGAGGTTTTTTTCTTGAAGATGGTGCAGCTGCCTGTCACCATCCATCAGTAGTTGTCCGTGAATGAAACTGTCACCTTTTTTTCTGTAAAAATTATCTAGTTAATTTGGAAAAACAGAGCATTTTATTTTTTTGTGGCCGAATGCAATATGCTTCCGTAAAATACCACAAAATTTGACTTTTAAATTTAGCAAATCTCAATGAATGTGTTTGTAAACGTCCTGTGATCTATTTATCTAGCTGCATCTAAAATGATCCACGAGTCAAACTGCCATCACCAAGAGCTACAGAAGAAGCCCTTCTCTGACATGTCTAAAAGGAATTTAAGTTTATTTAACCAGTCTGCTAAATCCCATCATCACGTCTCTCTACGACGTACGAAAACAAAGCGTGATGTTGTTTAAGCCCAAAGCCATTTCCTCATTCTGTTAATGGTTAACCGGTCACCCACAACAGGTACAAACTCTGAAGGAACCAGTTTTAAATCCAAGATAAAACTTCCTGTTATATTCCCGGCACACCTAAATAAAACTGTGTTTACTACAACTGCATGCAGATAGGATGTGTTA